CCGTATCAGACCCTGACTCCTGGTGACCACTCGGGCAGCCCACTGCCTGTCCAGCACTACGACCATGCTCAGTCTACTGTGATAAGTTTTCTAATGGCTGAGTGGTGTAAGTACAACACCTCGGCTCTCTTCTTTGCCTCGAAGCTCTGCTGAAACTTCTTCAGTGTTCTAGTTTGCTAATTCACCTCAAGCTTCCACTGATAGATGAATGGTGTGTATGAGATACGTTGGCTGGAAATCGAACTTCAGTCCATTACAGGAAGGTGAGAATTCTGCCACGGAACCTAATGACTCCTTAGCAAACCAGATCAGCTGCCATCAAATGGATAAATCATTGCTAAATTGCAGACTTCCAATCAAACCAGTGTCTCTCAATGGGAGCAGTATTGGCCTTGTGGGTGGAGTTGTGGATTGTGAAGCATTTGGCACCCTTGACCTTTGCCCTACTCAATGTCAACCACGCTCTCATGATCCCCTGGAGCAAGAGTATGGTGAGGACAGACTTTTGTCTATTTTCTGTGCTTTTTCCAGTATCTGAAACGGTGCCTGGTATGTACACTGTTTCTGAGTGAATTATGACAAGGGGGGGGGGACCCCATTCCCCTCAGGTAGAATTTCCAGGCTCTTCCAAGGAGACATTGTCACCTCCAGTTGAGAACCCTTGTTCCAGTCCTACCTTCATTCAGATTGACTTCCTTGGGGAGTGATGATCCGGCTTGATTTTGTTATTGTTGTTGTTGTTAGATGCCTTCTGTTGTTAGGTTACTGTCATGTTTGACTCATTTACGAGACAGTGAGCAACAGATCTGAACCCTGGCCGTCCAGGGCCATCCTCTTAGCCACTTCTGTTACTACGAAGGACAATCTATTCTGTGGTAGCTTGCTATCTCCAAACTACCCTTCTCTCTTGGACCTTGGCCATTTAGTTAATATATCATGTAAACTTTAAAACCCTGAATGGAACAGGGTGTGTAGCCTGGCCCTACAGAGAACAATGAGATTGTTATAGAGAGATAGGGTATTGACACCGCCCAGATTGTATTTCTTTTTCTTTAGGTAACCTCTCTAATGTTTGCTGGTTCTTGATCAGCTAAAACCCAAGGGCACTATGTTTACAATGCAAAGTATTAAACTCATTGGTGTCTAGTTGATTCGGATATAATGCAACCCTGTAAGAGTGTCTTGGCCACAGTCTTTGTGTCTGAACCTTCTGGGTGGATTCAGACCACCAGCCTGGGTGGTGGTGGTGGTGGTGGTGATGGTGATGGTGATGGTGATGTGCTGTCAAGTCAGCTATAACTCAAAATGACTTGATGCCCAGTGGATCTGAACCCTGTCCTTTCATCATCATCTCTGATATACTTGATCCCGTTGTTACCATCCCTGTGTTAACCCATCTCTCTGAGAGTTGTCATCTTGACCTTTCACCTTTCCAGGCATGCTTTTTCTTTTCCCCAGAACTGGCCCCTCCTAATAGCATGCTCAAAGTATGTGAGACAAAGCTCCACCATCCTTGCCTCCAAGAAGCACCCTGGTTGCATTTTCTCCAAGTTATGTTTGCTCTTTTGGCAGTCCATTGGATATTCGGTAGGTTCATCAATTACAAACCATTTGCATCACTAAACAGAAGACTTTGTCTAGAAGAAATTATGCTGCTGGTTCAAAGGTGGTACCACTTTGCCAGTTCAAATCCACCAGTGGCTCCTGGGAGAAAGATGGCTAGTCACCTATGCAGTTTACAGCCTGTGAAGCCCACTGGAGAGTCAGCAGTGGGTTGATTTCAACTCAATAGCAATAAGATATCTTGGTTCACTTTGGACCATTGTTCTGGTCCAGATAATCTAGAATCTCGCTACAGTGTGTAAACTGTCTACCTATCCCGTACTTATCACCAGCACTGAATCCTCTTCACGGTGGATGGATAAATTATTTATGTCCTCACTATGGTGTTCATTAAAATAGTCAAGTGGCCAGGCCTTTGGCGTAATAATAAGAGACTCCAGCTTAGGTTGATAATGATCAATACTCCTTGAGGTTGTTTGCCTTTGATCAGACCCAATTTATTCCAACCTCACCCCTCATTTCTATTGTGTCCGCAGAGATATCTTCAAACCCATCTGTTAGCTGCCTTGCTGAAATCCAGATTTTTATTACATTCCACAAAACTTCAAGGCTTTGCTTTTTTTTTTTTTCAACTCCCTTGGATAAATAGATGCATTTAGCCGAGCATGACTTGTTCTTGGTGAACCCGTGCTTGCTTCTAGTGTCACCACTTCCTCTTCTGAGTGGGCCAAACATTTTGTTGTCTCCATTTGGAAGTTTGCAGGAATCTGGGCTTGTTTTCCAGTTTCTAGAATCCACCTTTTCCCTCCTTGTGAAAACAGGAACAGCTTGTCTTCTGACGTCTTTTTAGAGAGGACAAAAGATGGTGTTACAATCTCTCATCTCTCCGTTCTTTCCCTGGGCATTGGTAGAGTTCCTGGGTCGAGGTATTCTTGTAAGGTTTTTCTGTCTAACTGAGACTTGCTCTCCTAACAATTATGATTTACCCTTTAGCAGTTGAAGATCAATAATGGTGATACTAATAGTGGGAGTGAATGGTTCTGCAGTGTCTGCAATCTGTTTAATATTAACAGTCCTTGTTGTTGCTGTTGTTGTTGTTGTTGTTATGTGCCATCGAGTCACCTGCGACTCATAGCAACCCTATGTAAAATAGCACTGAATCCTGCCCTAATTCTGAGCCTTATCCATTTTATTTTTAAAACAGATTTTTACTTTCGTTTTTTGTTGTTGGGTTTTTTTTGTTGGTTTTTTTTTTTCCTTTGGATGGTCCTTAACATTTGTTTGAGCTCTCCTGTTGGTACCTGAATGTCCTCTGGATATTTCATGTTTAAGGAGCTTGCTCAGCTAGACCGTGAGCCCTCTGAGGGCAGGCACCTCTCTCAGGCAGAGCTGACTCCAGCCTTCCTCACTTCCCATTTTACCTATACTGCACAGCCTTCAGAGAAATGCTACAGGGAGGCAGGGGAGTGAGGGGTGCGGCAAGTCATCATGGAAAATTCTTTGTTAGAGTACACATATCCACTTACACGGGCCCCACTGCTGCTTCTGCAGACTGCACATTCCTGCAGAACAACCCACCCTTTTCCTTTTCCCCCCACCAAACCTCAGTCATGCTCTGGGTGGGTTAGAAATACAGTTTTCCATCTCCCTCCCACGTCATCACTCGCTCCTGTCTCTAGACCAGATGCCCCAATCTCAGGCCCTCCTGGAGAGAGAACCTGGAACTCGAGATTTTTCACAGTTGATCTCATTCCCTCTTTATGGGGTTTCTGGGGTCCTGGCTCTGCACAGCCCCACTGGTAGGTTGGGATGAATGGCAGAGTAAAGGTTAGAGTGGAAGCAAAGATTCATCATGTTGAAGCAATTTTGACAACTATAACTATACCTTCTTCCCTGGAGGAGCCCTAGTGGTGCAGTGGTTAAGTGATTACGCTGCTAACTGAAAGGTCCAGAGTTCAGACTCAACTGAGCGGATAAGACTTTTCTTGGGGCCTCCCAGTGGACTTTACCAGACAGCCTTTTTACCTCTCAGTTTGTTGAGACTGATAACATAGCTTTGAATTACCTGGAAATGTACTTGCCAATATTAGATGATCTATTCTTGTTTGGCCCATGGCAAAGACAGGAAAGAGTTGGAAAGGGAAGGGGAGGTAGACTAGCATCTTGGGCATAGGGGCTGGAGGATGGGATACCGATGAATTGCTTTTTCAGCTCTCAGGCATGCATCCATGAAGACACTGAAGGGACCTTAGCAGATGGTGAAGGGTCTTTTCCCAGGGCAACCTGTTTTCCATTTATTTGTTTTTATCTATTTCCTTTATTGTATTGTTGTTAAATACATTACAGAATCATCACTAATCTGACAAATTTTCTAAGTGACATTGAGTACATTCTTAGAGTTGTTCAATCATTGTTCCCTCTGCCTTGCTCACTGCCCCTTGCATGTCTTACCTAATCTTGCAAGTTGATGTTGTCACATTGATCTCATGTAGATTGGTTTTACAGCATAGTACTTAGGGCAGATTTTCCTTATTAGTTTAGCTAAACTGTTGCTTGATCTAAAGAAGACTTCAGGGGATGCTTTTTTTTTTTAAAGTCTTCAGGTTTAAAGATTATTTTCAGGATTCATCGAGCCTCAGTGGCTCCAAAGAATTTAGATTCTGTAAGTAAAATTGCTTCTCTATTTTTCCATATTTTCATCAGAATTCTGCAGAATCTTTGTCCAAAATGCTAAGCAGTGGTAGTCAGGTCAACCTGAATGGTCTGGGTGGGAATGTAAGGATTCTTTTGGACCACTGTGTCACATCTACATTTGAAAGCAAAATATCAAGTGCCTCCCTTCTTAGTGTTGTCTGGGGACCAGTTGCATAGGCATCACCTGGGAACTTTTTGAAACCGTCAGTTTGGAGACCCATCTGCTGACTTACTGGATCTGAAACTGTGAAGGTGGGGTGTGGCGGTGTGCAGTTAACAAGCCTTCCAGGTGATTGTGGTATATACTAATAAATTTGAGAAACACCAGTGATTAAAAGAATGGACTCTGGAGCCACATTGTCTGGGTGCATACCTTTGCCAGCTGTGTGGCTTTAGGCAACTCACTTAACCTCTCTGATCCTCCATTTCATTCCCTATAAAATTGAGACAATAACTACTACCCTGTTAACTGTGATGATTAAACGAGAACTCCTATAAGACCCTGAATGAGATGGATTCACCCAGTGACTGGGGTAATGGGGGTAGGGGTGTCAGAGACAGTAAAGTGGGCAAAGGATAGCACAGTGTTCAGAGTTGTTGTATATAGGGTTGCTGTGAGTCGCAAGCACCTTGACAGCGCATAACAACAACAACAACATATAAGTAGTTTAATGTGTGATATTGCCATTTGGAAAGCATCAGTAATTATGACCTCAGCATTGATCTTCATTCTCTGTTTCAAGGTGGTATCTGATGCTGCAGGACAAGGAGTAGCCATCACAGGAAACCAGACCTTCAACAACTGGAACTGGCCCAATGCTGTGATTTTTGCAGCCACGGTCATCACCACCATCGGTAAGTTGTCTGGTCTGTGTCTGTCTGGTGTCTCCATTCCTTTAAGACTCATATTATGGCAGGGCTCTGTCTCCTGGGGCCTTCAGGATTCCCGCCGCCCTATCCTAGCTCCAAGGAACATAATAAGAACCCAGCTCTGGCTTGGACTCAGGTCCGAGGTAAAATCGGGCAACTTGGCAGTTAGTCTTTTTTGACACGTTCCTGGGATTTAGTTAAGTGTTTGACTGGGCATGCCTGGGAGACTAGTCCTATGAGTCCAGAAACAGTGACACAGCCAGGTAGCCAATCCTGTTGCAGGAGGTTGGTCAGGTTTTTCACTACACAAATCCAGCCCACCCTTGATCACCACACGGAGTATCTACTCTAGCATCAGTTCTCCTTCTATCCTCCCTAGTCATTGTCCAACTCTCTGATGCATAGCACGTAATTGCAAAGACCATGGCCTGTATCAGATGCACCTTAGTCTCCAGAGAGACACCATTGCTCTTCAGAACTTTGGAAAGGTCCCTAACCTATGAGAGACCTAATGGGGAAGGTAAAAGTGCCTATCCTCATGGGTGTTTTGTGTGCCATGGAGTCACAACTGACTCATAGCTCACCCTCCAGCCAGTTTTCAAAGTAATTGCATGGGAGGAGATGGCCCATCCTTTTTCCCACAAAACAGTTGGTCAATTCAGACAGCACACCTTTGGGATTTCAGCACAGCTTCTTAACCTCCAGGCCACCAGAGCTCCCTGCCTGTCCTTGAGGAGCTCCCAATCTGCTGGAGGAACCATAGGTCCTGCCATCATAATGGCAGCAAGTGGTCATAGTGTGCTCAAGAGAAGGACCATTCCTTAGGTGTGGATCATAGTCCCCAGGTAGTACAAATGGTTAATGCACTTGGCTGCTAACCAAAAGATTGCATGTTTGAGTCCATGAAGAGGCACCTTGGAAGAAAAACATTGTAATATGCAGTCAAAATCAAAAGATCTGTGACAGACAACTCACTTGCCCCAATCAGTGTCCACTCAGTGGTAAGCCGCAGTGTGAAGTGAGTATGACTTAGAGAATGGGCCTCTCTGAGTGGGCAGGGAGGTGGTAGGAGAAGCAGAGGGCCGTTCTGTATCCAAGTTCATCATCCCTGCAGTGGCTTCCTCTTTCCCTTCCCACCCCGTCCCCACTCCCACCCATCTCACTGCATTTTTATTTTTTTCCTACAAAGACTTCATTTTGGCCTCTCTCTGTCCTCCTCCTCCAGGCTATGGGAATGTAGCCCCCAAGACTCCTGCTGGGCGTCTCTTCTGCATCTTCTACGGTCTCTTTGGAGTGCCCCTCTGTCTGACATGGATCAGCGCCCTGGGCAAGTTCTTCGGGGGACGTGCCAAGAGGCTGGGCCAGTTCCTCACTAAGAGAGGAGTGAGCCTGGTATGTCTCCTACCCTGTGTTGTAGGCAGAAATGAGGATGGGGCAGTTGATGATGGGAGAGATCGGGAGTATTGGGACAAGGAGAAAGAAGGCGGTTTCTGTGACCCCAGCTTTCCTGGGTCATGCTGGGAACACCCCTCTCCCCTCCCCTCCTGGTTGCTGCCCCCCGCCAGGCTGCCTTAATCACCCCCGTTGTCTGACTTGGGTTTCCCCATCAGCGGAAGGCGCAGATCACGTGCACGGCCATCTTCATCGTGTGGGGCGTCCTGTTCCACCTGGTGATCCCCCCCTTCGTGTTCATGGTGACGGAGGAGTGGGACTACATCGAGGGCCTCTACTACTCCTTCATCACCATCTCCACCATTGGCTTTGGCGACTTCGTGGCTGGTGAGCCCCCTACCCCTACCCCTCCCTGCTGCTCTGCCTCCTGCCTTCACATTTCTGCCTCTCTCCAGTTCTGACTCAGCCTCAGCAGGCTTTTACAAAGGGGACCCCAATAGGTGTTAAATGTTTTGGATGCTTCTCTGAACCAGTGGGATTCTCATGCCACCCTGCCACTTTCCAGGGGCAGCTGAGACACAGGAAGGCAGAAGAAGAGTTTGTTTCTGGTCCCCTTTTCTTGGATGTGGCTTTCCCCCTTCTAGTGTTTGTCTCTGATATCCTTTCCCTTCAACCCTCCTGAGCTGGGTTTAGTTCAGTCAGGGCTAGGCCTAGTGGCTTGAGCCAGTCTTCTGCCTACAGGGTTTGCCCTAGTTTCCTGGGTAAGCCGAGGCAGGCCCTGCAGGCTTGGCTCAGAGGCCCGAAACCTTGCTCTTGCCACAGGCAGTTGAGAGACAAGGAAGGCCTTCTCCTGAGCTGCCCTGCCCCCCTTCCTCAGCCACTCCCTATCACTCCTCCCCACTTAATCCAAGGAGGCGATTAGATTCTTTGGCCCTTTGTCTGACCACCTGCAGTGAGCCCAGCCCCTCATGGACTTGAGCCTGTGGCCGCAGAGCATCTTGGCTCTTCAGCTTCTTGACACCCTGTTTGGCTACACTGATCCTGCCTTTGTTCCCTCCAAGTCGACTGCTCTGCCTGTTTACCCTCCCCCTCTCTTCAGGGGTCAGGTCCCTGCCATTCTCCCCCACCTCTCCAGTCAAGGGGAGGTCACTACCCTTCTGCAAAGAATGCCTGGAGGGGGCGTCTTGAGTGGGTGGTGAGAACAGGAGAGAAAAAGGCATGAACACTCCCTGAGCCTGGCAAGTCTGAGCCTTCTGTCCTGGAGATCAGTTTAGTCCCAAGCACAAGCCTACCATTGTCTAGCCCTTGGGGCCCAGCTCACACTAAGGAGAAGCATTTTGTCCTAGAGGAAGGAGTACAGCAGTATAATTTACCGATGCTGCCCCAGCTCCAGCAAGACACCGTACCTGTGTGCCTCAGTTTCATCATAACTGACCCTCCAGCAGGTTTTCAGATGGTAAATTGCACCAAAGTTTGCCCGTCTTCTTCAGAACAGGTGGTGGATTTGAACGAAGTGCCTTTAAGTTGGCAGCATAACTCCTTCCCACAAAGCCAGCAGAGATTATTTGGTAGCTTTAGTGAGCAGAAATTTGTTTTCTTAGATTTCAGGAGATGAGAAGTCCAAAATTTTGGCAGAAGCTCTAGGGAAAGGCCCTCAGTCCCTGCTGTCTCGACTTCTCTTCCATTCTTTTTCTCAGTGCTCCTGGGAGCTCTCTAGTCATTTGCCCTTGCTTATGCCCAGTCTGCTCAGAAATGGTTCATTTAAAACATTAACCTGAAGACTAGGCCTCTCTTTTGGTTTGAATCCACCAGTAGCTGCTCAGGAGAAAGATGGACAGTCTCCTTCCATAATATTTACGGCTTCAGAAAATCCGCTGGAAGATCATCTGTGAATCCCTAACAAAACACAAGTGGAATGGCAGCCATAAATATAAACTCCTTTCTTCCCCTCAAAAAACTCTCCTTGCTGTAAAGCCATAGTGACCAGCTTCTGGGTTTCTCAGACTATAAAACTGCCCATCCTTTTCTCTTGGAGGACCTGGTGGATTTGAACTGCTAAACTTTTGGTTATCTGGACAGTATGTAATGCACTACACCACCAGGGCTCCTTTTCCCAAATGCAGGTGTTGGGATTTATAGCATATATTTTGGGAGTACATGGTTCCATCCATAATTCTGTAGGGCTGATACCCTCACACCCTGCTGATAATCAAGAGAACCTTTCTGATTGGCTTTGGAGTGGAGGAGGGATGGACACTAGAGTGGACGGGGCTCTTCGGGTCCAGTTGAGGAGGCAGAAGGAAGGGGCACCTGCCATCATGGTTGCCTAGTCCCCATTCCCCCATTCACTGAGGGTCAAGGTGTGAGTTGACAGCAGTTGTGGATCCACCAAGGGTGGGGGGTGTGTGTGCGCGCGCTCCCCACCTCTGAAGTTTGCAGCCGCTCCATTTAATTTCCATCCTACTTTTACATACTTACCAAAAAGGTTAGTAGTTGTGTGTTGTCAGGTTGGAATTGATCCATTGTTGACCCTCCAGTGGGTTTTCAGAGGAGAGGAGATTGCCCTCCCTTCTTCCAGGGAGCATCTCCTGGATTCGAACTGAAGGCCCTTGGGATTGCAGCACAGCTTCTAACTTGACTATGTGTTGGTTATATTCTCAGTCCCTCCAGAGCTTCTCTATATAACCCTCTCCCTCACCTTTAGAGGTAATCACTCTCCTGACTTTTGTAGTTGGGGAAACTGAGGCTCAGACACAGGTTGAGGTCTGAGAGTTAGTGACTCAGACAAGACCCTTCCAAAGGATGGGAGGGTAGCCCTGGGTCTGGAACAAACCTTTCTTTCATGCTGCTACCTCTTCTGGATTGTGCCTCCGATGCCCTTGTTCTTACATTAACACCGCTGTGGCCTCTGTGTGTTTCTGGGTTCCTGTTGACCCTTTCCTGACCCTTGGGCTCCTGTCATTCTGCAGGTGTGAACCCAGACGCCAACTACCATTCCCTCTACCGATACTTTGTGGAGCTCTGGATCTATCTGGGGCTGGCCTGGCTGTCCCTCTTTGTCAATTGGAAGGTCAGCATGTTTGTGGAAGTCCACAAAGCCATTAAGAAGCGGCGGCGGCGGCGGAAGGAGTCCTTTGAGAGCTCCCTACACTCCAAGAAGGCCCTGCAGATAACAGGGAATGCTGCCTCCAAAGACGTCAACATCTTCAGCTTTCTCTCCAAAAAGGAGGAGACCTACAATGACCTCATCAAGCAAATTGGGAAGAAGGCGATGAAGACAAGTGGGGGTGGGGAGAAGAAGGTCCCAGGACCGGGGCCTCCCAGGGGTGGGCCACCAGGTGTCCCTGCCTCCTTGGCACCCCTGGTGGCCTACTCCAAGAACCACGTGCCCAGCTTAGAAGAGGTGTCACAGACTCTAAGGAACAAAGGCCATGTGTCAAGGCCCACAGAGGAGGAGACTGGCCCAGAGCCCCCCGAGGATGGTTCCCAACCCCCAGAAGGGTTCATTAACCAGCTGGACCGCATCAGTGAAGAGGGTGAGCCCTGGGATGCCCTGGACTACCACCCACTCATCTTCCAGAACGCCAACATCACCTTCGTGAAGGAGGAGGCTGGCCTCTCAGACGAGGAGACCTCCAAGTCCTCACTGGAAGACAACCTGGCTGAGGACGAGCAGCTGCAAAAAGGGGCCGAGGCAGAGGCACCCCCGCACTTCCTTTCCTCAGACGAGTCTACCTTCACCAGCACTGAGTCTGAGCTCTCTGTGCCTTATGAACAGCTTATGAACAATTTCAACAAGGCAAACAACCCCAAAGGCACATGAAGCAGGCTCGGCTCCCCACCCCCAGTTGCTGGTGGCGTCTCCTGTGATGGTTGGGACTCCTGGCTCCTGTTGGGGGACAACTCTGGACCTGGGAGTGGGGAGCCAAGGGCCTTCCTTACCCTCCATCCCCTCCAGCTCTATGCCTAGGACAATGCTTTCCTCTGCTTTCCAGCAGAGCAGGGGGCCGGCATTGGGCAGCATCTGTCCTGAGCATGAGCACGGCCGGGTGCTCTGATGGTTCGGAGGAGATGGTGGTGGGGCAGGCGGGCAAGGGTGACCCTGCAGAGGCCGGCACACACCTGTGCGGTCCATTTGGTTCATAACGCCACACGGTTCTCCTAGGTTGGGGACCCTCACCCGTTTATGTTCGCCAGTGTTTAATCATCTCCTGGGTACCTTGACATACTGGAGAGGGGGAGGGCAGTGTAAGGCCAGGGTTCTGACTTTGCAAGCTCAAAAGTGCACAAGGAGGTGCAGGATGGTGTGGAAGCTGGGAATCGGGGACCAGAGGAGCCACAGGGCCCAGGGCTGGGCATACTCCTAACCATCCTGTGACTCTACCCCATCTGCCGTGGCAAGAGGAAGGCGGTGCTGAGACACTCCTGATGCTGAGGGCTCTGCGTTGTTGATTTGTTCAGACCAAGCTCAGCCCGGGGCCCTGCCCCCTCCCTCCTATACTTTTAGATCAAGCAATGGCAGATGCAAAGCTTTCTGCCCCCCTCAGAGAGTGGTGGAACGTCGACCACTGCAGCCTGGGACTCCTGGTGCTGGTAGCCAGGTTGCCGAGAATGTGAGGCTGGATCCTAGCTAGTTCCACCTTCAGCCCTCTAGCTTCCTATCAAGATGCACCCACACACTATTGCACCAACCCCTTTGGGTTTCCCTTTACCCAGAATTCCTACTAGCCTACCCTTACTCCCCACCCACCCTTGCTCTTGGCTCACAAGTTTTGAGCAACCAGATCTGTGAATCACACCCCCCTTCCTGCTACTGTTGGTCATTTGTGTTTGTGTTTATGTTTGAAAAAAGGATCTGGGATGGAGGAGTAAAAGATAATGTGAAACTGTAAACAGACTTTCCAGTGAGGCGGCCGCTGGAGCTCTCGGTGGCCTGACTTCTGGGGTTCTGTAGCCCACTCCGGCCTTCATGTTGTATTTTGTTATTTTTTTAATAAACTACTGTTTTTATATGTCTAAAACCCCTGTTCTTGGCCTCTGAGCCACCAGGGAAGAGGTTTAAGTGTCAGACCCAGAGTCCACCATGCCCTGCCCCCAATGCCCTTGTTGGGCTTTTCTTAGTGACCTCAGCTAAGGTCATGGTGTCATGAGCCATCCCCCTCTGCTACACTGGGGAGGGGCCGTCAGTTGCAGGCAACTGGACACCAGGCCAGGGGGTGACCATTCTCATCAGCCCCAGCCCCCTCCTCAATGGCTGTGGGGGCAAATAGGCCAGTGCTTCCCCTCCATGAGTGAAGGTGATAGGCATGTGTGTCCCTGGACCTGTTCATTCTGTCATAGATGTAAGTCTGCCAGGCCAGGCCATGTGGTATTTGTTCTGTGAGCTGTGTTAACTGTTGTCTCGGTCCCCACCCGACCTGGGCAGCACTGGCTGCCCTGAAACCATACACACTGTATGTACATACTGGCGATGATACCGAATGTAATTTATTTTAACATTTTTACAATAAAATGTGAGGTGGACAAGCCAGTTTGTTGTGTGTTCTGTGGTGCATGCAGTGGGAGGGGGGGCTGGTTTGTGCCATCAGAAGGAAGGAGGAGGCCCCTGGGATGAGCCACATGAAAGGCTGGATAAGCCGAATCTCAGTATGAAGGTCCTAAGGAGAATTTAGTTGGCCCTGGAAAGAAGTAAAGGAACCCTGGCTTAGGGTGTTGTGTGTTGGACTGTCAATCCAAAAGGTGGTAGTTCAAGTCCACCAGCTTCTCTGAGTGAGGGAGCTGGGCATGGGCAATCTTTTCTTGTAAAGATTTAGAGCCTCAGAGACCCGAGTCTCTGAGTCAGATCCACTGGAAAGCAATGATTGGTTTGGGGGTTTAAAGGGAGTAAAGTATAGAGAAGTAGAAGATGACAGACTACTTGAAATGAGATGGTCAGGAGTGTCTCTCGAGGGAGGCCTGAGTGCGGGAGAGCCGTGGGGCAGGGACACACTGCCGTAAGTTCACAGATGAGGAAGGAGTTAGAGGAGCAAGGGACAGAGACGGAAAGAGATGACAGGAGACTCCTGGCACCTCGCGGGCATGAAGTGGGGATAACATTCCCTGTGAGGGGGATGAGGAAACCAAAGCATAGCCAGGCTGACTTGAACCAACCTCATGATAAATAAACCAAACAACAATCCATTGCTATTGAGTTAATTCTGACTCATAATGAGCCTGTTATGAATAAAACTGCCTCTTAGGGCTTCCAAGGTTGTAAATTTTGATGAAAGAAAACAGCTTCTTTCTCCAGAGGAGCAGGTAGTGTGTTGGAAATGCTGATGTTTTGGTTGGCAGTGAAGCATAAAATCACCGTGCCACCAGGGTCCTTTTTCATTAATAACCAACTCTTAGCTAACTGTCCAGTGGGTTTTGGGGGACTAAATTGCGCTGGGGGAGACTGCCCATCTACATCCCACAGAGCCAGCAGTGAATCCAAACTACCAAAGCATCGACTGCTTTCTGAATTAGCAATGCAGCTCCACCACTAGCTCCAGTAAACAGTGAAACTCGTACCCAATTCTCGGCCATTGGGTCCCTTCCAAGTCATGGCCCCACCTGTTAGGTTTCTGTCGCTTAAATCTTAACAGGAGCAGACTGCCTCATCGTTCGACTTCAGGAAAACTGGTGTTTTCGAACTGCTGAGCATCCAGTGTCAATAAACCAAATCCAGAGCCAATAAACCAAAGCCCAAACCCACTGCGATAGTGCTGAGGAGGGGGTTTGCAAGGTGGTGACTCTTCACAAGAGGAGCCTGGCACTCCTCCTCCCTCTGAATGGCCGGTGGATTTGAACTGCCACCCTTTTGGTTAGTCGTCCACTTGGTTACACACAAAATTCAAACCCTGACGGGTCCGCTCTCAGTTTGCTCCACTATCCCCTGTGATAAGGCAGGAGACCCCCATGCTTTGAGGCCTGTCTCCTGGCTTACCTGAAACTCCTCAGTACTGGCTGTGTGCCTGCCATTTCTGTCCACCACCCTTTATTTTGCCTCTTGTGTTTGTGTCCTAATCCTCACAACAGTATTATTAACCCCATTTTACATATTGAGACATGAAGTCCAATCACAGGACTTTCTCCCAAATTCAAACAGTTAAGTGGCAGCAAAACCGTTTCCTTGACATCCGTTCCCAGGCTCCCTCATTCTAACCCTCTGGAAGAGAAGCCAGGTTGTTTGGGTTTCACCTCCTTGGAAGTGAGCAGTCGAGATGGTCATCAGATCTGGTTGCCTCTGAAGCTTTCTTAAATGATGAAGGAGGAGGCTGTAGAGCTCTGGGCTGAGCCTTCAGACGTGGCTGACTTTCTTCTGGTTCCCAGAAATATGGCCTCCGCCATGAAGATCCTGCTCTCCACCCCTAAAATAACAGGAGACTTTGCCTCACTTTGGACGTGTCATCAGGAAAGACCAGTCCCCAGTGGAGGACATCATGGTGGGTAAAATTGAAAGTCATCAAAAGTGAGAGAAACCCTCCATGAGATGGGTTGATAGAATAGCCAATGCCATGGCTATTGAGATGGGCAATGTCTCCTTCAGTCATGTGAAAGGCCTCTGCTAGTACCAACTCTATGGCAACAAGAACAGTTTAGATGTCAACGTGTGTCTTAGATATCAACCCCCTGCTGCCGTCACTTAGGGAGCTCTGGTAGCCTAGTGGCAAGAAGCTGTGCTGCAAACCCGAAGGTGCGCTGTTGGAGGCCACCAGCCGCTTGGCTGGAGAAAGCTGGGCAGTCTCCCGTGTGATTAACTGCTTCTGAAAACCCGCCAAAGGGTCAGCGATGGTTCAGTTCTAACTCTGGTGCATAACAACAGTCGTCACCTGGATCCCAGCCACACTGGCCCCACACCTGCCTGTCTACAACAGCACTGGCTCTGAAACCTGGTAACAGCCCACAGATGGTAGCCAACTGAATGAATGAGCCTTCTTAGCTACTCCTGGACTCTAATATGGGTCCTCTTCCATCTGGCCTGGGTGATACGAACTGCTCACCTGCTGGTCAAAAGGTTGGATGTTCAAGTCCATTCAGAGACACTTTCAAATAAAGGCCTGTCAATCTGCTCAAAAGTCCACCATTGAAACCTACAGCACAACTTTACTCAAAGATACGTGCGGGATGGGGGTGTCCCTGAGTTGAAATGAACTATAAAAACGGGTTTTGGTTTTTCCTTTCCAGTAACCATGACTTCAAGTGCGTTCTAATCCCAGACTCAACGTTGACACCAGTTCTTTCCTGCTTTCAACTCCTTGGGGACTTCCACTCACCAGCCCCCCGCCCCCCTTTAACTACATTGCCAGCCAGCCCCACCTCTCTTCCTGAGTTCCAGCCACACTGACATTTCTCAAATCTGCCAGGGTGCCCCACTTTTGTCTTTACTCTGACGACAATGTCCTTCTTAGCCCTGTGGTTAAAACCCTGACTTCCACCATAAATGCTTCTCCACCAAGAGTCTGTCCTCAGCAAGCTGCCTCTGTGGGATGTTGTCAAAGTTACCCACCTTTGGTGCTCAGGGCCACCCACCCTCCCCCAACTAGGAGCTCCTGGGGAGAACAGTGTGTTCACCTTTGGGTTCCTACCACACGACTTACTGTGAATGAAGGCTGAGTTTTCAATGTTTACTGACCGGAGGGTGAATGAACAAATGTCCTGGTTCCATTGGCTAATCTGAAGTCAAGGCTTATTCTCTACAAGTGAATTCCAGAAAAGACTAGTGCACAATCTAGAACAACCTTGAGTCTGACATGAGTGAGCCAGTTCCCCTCCATCTGGGCAGGGCAAGGCCACACACAC